ATCTTTGAGTTCTTATAACCCAAAAGTTTCAGCTTTCTAGCTTTTCTGGTCCCCCAAGTTAGCGATTTTCCCGCCAAAACTTTGAGGCGCTCGTATGCGGGGCCTAGACGTGCACGAGGATTGGTACCGCGGTCCCGGGGTGACACTTGGCCGGGGAACTCACTTGCAAAATTTTGGCATCGGAGCTTGCTTGGATGCCGGGTTGAAACACCCGGACAGACACACGCACACCGGGGTCGTCGCAATATGCATTCTCGCATTTGCATATATGCAAAAGCGCATAAAAAGCCGACATTTTGCATCGATGATTGTTTCGTCCCGAAACTTAATTTGAGCGCGCGATTACAGGCCAGGAAAACGACTGAATAACTCTAAGTCACTGCATGGCCACATCAAATTTCCGAATCTTGAATTTTTGGCTTGCTACGTTCCAAAATAGGCCTAAATTTGGATTTGAACCGGTGCGTATTAGTAAAGCGAGGCAGGACAGCTGATTCTGTTCATTTATCTCGGGCTGTCTGAAAAAACGATTTCCTTGAATTCTCAGCCTACAGCCTTCGTGGTTTTCGGATCTTAAAAGACACTTTAATGCAAGTCAGCAAAAGAGGCCGTAAACCAGAAGTGATTTGTAATTTACGATCAATTAGGGATTACGTTTTGAAAAATTCAGCTTCAAACAGTAGAAGTTCTGGGATCCGTTGGCCCGAGTACAGAGGTACATCTATGCAGACACGACCTAGCCGTAGTGCATTTAAGATCTCTTACGAATTACACAACGCGTAGGGAAAATGAAACGTACCGCGTTTGATCACATAACTACTTGAGGTTCGTTTTACTGGCAACGACATCTCGGTAGAATTGCGCTAGTATAATACTGCTACTGAAATCACCCAAAGACGTTCGGCGCTTCAAACGGCACGCATGTAATAACACAAATTTGCTTCCGCTCACAAAAATTTTAGGCCCGGCATGGACGGGGCTTTGATCTCAAATCCAGCTGGTTGATGAGGCTAAATTCCCGAACACTGCGCTACTCTGTCCATCCAGATCAGCGAACTCAATCCGTCCAGAGTAGCACTACTGGCCTGAGGCCACGGGAAAGGTCAGTCAGTGTGAGGTTCAAATTCCATCTCATGCCTTTTAGCAAACATTGTGCAGCAAATTTTGAATGAGTTCGTGGCCATTTCCTTCTCGGACAGTTCGACTAAATTTGGGCACCGGGCGACCGACAGTCCAAAAACGCGTCCTCGAAAATTCTCCTTCGCAGTTCCAGAGCTGCTGCATCATCCGACACACATTAGAGCCGGAATGAAGCCAAAATGGAGTGGACGTGTCGATAATCTATTTCCGTAAAATGAATTCCTTATCGCCTGCTACTGGGGCACCGCAAGCTGGCCGGCTCGAGTGGTCGAAAGCCTAGCCGCAGTAGGGTTATTCTGCCCAATGCACGGGTATCGAATGTAACTCAGCAACACCACCGCTGCAAGCGCAGCAGATGCTTGGAGGGGGGCCATTCAGGGATTTTTGCGAACAACTGCCCATCGTTTGCGATGCCAAACGCAGGCATTTCAAAACGGCCCATGCCACGCGAATTTTGACCCCAGGCCTACGCGAAGAAACTGAGTAGGACGGGCGCGCAAGTCAGCTGGGACGAAATGCTCCAGAAAATAACAGGCTCTACATTTACTGTATAAAATAACTCCCTCTACGACGGGTCTTCCTCCCATTCGTACACAATGTAGCCCCTGAAAGCATAAAACGAAAGTGACCGGAAGTGAACAACCTGACAGCTTTGGCCCCGTACCGATCTACGCCCAGTAACAGATGCACACAAACATGCCAAATACACATACACACACACATGCGCATACACGTACGTCTACACACACACACGCACACCCACATACAGACAAACGTTCTCTTGCACAACGACATAAGAACGCGCCAGTTGCGAACCAATGCGAGGCGGAGAGGTGTGAACAACTGAGGCCG